ACCCATCCCGGAGGGCCGCCCGGGGCCGCCCCGCGCCCACAGCGCCCGCCGAGCCTACCCGAGGGTCGGTGCGGGGTCGCAGAAGGCAGGTCTCACCTCGGGTTGGAGGGCGTGGGAGTCACAACGGCACCGGCCGGATCCCAGGCTGTGCTCTTCCGCAGAAGAGTGAGAGGAGGTTGAAGGGTAAAGCCTCCGACAGGAAGTCCCGCCCCTGCGGCCCGCCCACGGGGCGTGGCTTCTCCTGACCCCGCCCGGCGACAGAGCACGACCCCGCCCGGCGACAGAGCACCACCCCGACCCCGACCCCAGGCTGCCCGCGCTGGGGCTTGCTTCCTGACCTGCCCCGCCCTGACCAGACCTTTGAGTTCTGGCCTCTTTTTTTTCAGCCTCTGGTTCTTCTAATCTCTTTATCCTACCTGTGCATTCTTCTATAATTTTTTTAAAAATTTCGTCTCCTCTATTTTGTCTGTCCCTTTTGTCTTCTCTTCATTTTCTTATTTACCTTTCTTTCTCCTTCCCTTTCATTTGCTAAACCCATGCTGCGTAAACCTACGCTACATGTATACATTTTATAGGGATTCTTAAGGGAGCCGTCCGCAAATGTTCCACTTTTTGCGTGAGGATTATTTTGAGCTAAAGGGAGTTGAGACCCCGTGAGTGTAAGAGAGAGGAAACTACTGTTCCAACCTGAACTACTTGGATTTAAATTGGGGATTTTTCTCAGAAAATGTGAGTTATTACTGGAGATAAATTTTATTTAAGGGACCCCGTCTGTATGGCACAGTAAATAATTACCAAACATCTACTTTTCTTCTTGTTGTTCATGGAGTGACCCTCCTGGCCTTGGAAGCCCCAGGCCCTTATCCCATTCCTTAGCTCAGGATGGCATATAGTCCTCTTTTTAATTTTCTGCCTCTGATCTTCTTTATGCATGTGGGGTCTCTGACTTTCATGTGTATAAGAGTTTCATATATACAAAATTAAATTTCATTTTCTCCTGTTAATCTGTCACATATCAATTTAATTCTTACACCAGCCATAAAACCTGGAAGGTTTCCTAGAGGAAAGTTTTCTTCCTCCCCAGCAATGTACACTACAGTGAACCTGTGATAGATAGATAGACAGACAGACAGACAGATAGATATTTGTTACCTCGAACCAACTGCCCTATTCATTTGGTTGCCATTTATTGAGGACTTACCACGTTTCAGGCACTTGTGTTTTCATAGGCATCATTGTACTTAAAACATTGCTACAGTTCCATGAGAAGGTATGATCGGTTTCATCATATGGACAAGGAAACTGAGGCTTAAAGAAGTTATTTGTCCTCAGGCCACACAGCAAGAGCAGAGAGCAGAACACACTGGCTCCAAAGTCCACACTGAGAGAACACATGGCACGATGAGGCTGCATCGCATGAGATACAAGGACTAGTCTATGGTCCTTAAAATGTGTACTCTTCTTGAAATAACACGTCTGGCATCATAGTGTATATAGTCTTACTATTATAATCCAAAAGGCATTGCACAGACAAAAGATGTCCCAACCGCAGCAGGCCCAAGGAATCAGGTTATTTGGCTCCTCGTATTTGCAGTGATTGCTTCTCTTAGTTTGCTCAGAAGATGGGGTGTCGTCACCAGTGTGTTACAAATGAAAGCCTTCTCTAGGATCGATGACATCAACTGTAGGGCCAGTTCTCAGACCTCACAATCAGCCAGAACTTTGTCTCCATTCTTCTAAAGAATGATACCATTGAGTTTCTGATTTGAACACCTTGATTTTTCTAGCAAAAGATGCTTTTGATTTCTTGATTTATAAAAAGTCAGAAATTAGCTTTTTGGTTCTTCATTGTCTGTCACTTTAAAATAAAAATCTTGCCAATTACATGGTGACAAGTGTTGATTTTTAACCAAATAGAAATTTCCAGGCATTTGCAGAAATGTCATCAGAGTCCTCCTTAAACCTCTAAATAAACATGGTCCCACTTCTTTGGCAAAGCTGCTAAAATCAGGCAAACCTGCTAAAATCAGTGTAAGCAAATTGAAGTAAGACAGATAGAAGATCAAATATCTCATTCCTTCCAATTAAAACCATTTCAAGCTTCCTACCTCAAATGAGCAAGAAGTACAATCTTTTTCTAGGGGCCTCAGCTGCCACCCTATAATTGTCCTTCAGTAACTCGGAGTTTTTTCAGTCCAAGGAGGTCGTTCTGCTTTCAAATGCATAACTGAAAGTAAAATGAAGAATCCTCTAGTGCACTGGGCGGTCTAGTGCTCAGATCTGGTTTTGGCAGTGCTGCAGACTGGTTGTGAGTGGTTTCGGTGGCTGCAAAGACCTCGGTTCCTGGTGCATTGCTCTTGGCTTTCCAGAGGGGCAGTTTTAAAAGCTACAGTCACATCTGCAGCCATTGTTCCCAACCACAAAGTTCAGATCCTTTGGTTGGGGGTTACGGAGGGGTCAGGTTCCAGCCTCAGCCACACACTATACTAGGACAAAATCTACTCCCTGGTGTGGTGTCCATGTCACAATTCCAGACTTCCCTGATACAATGGTGAGTACACTCTTGAGGGCCTTTGATATCCTTTCCTACGAGCTGACTTCCATCCATGAGAGAGGTTTCAATTATGCTAAACCTCAAGATGGAAGTGAGGTGAGACCCAGTGCCCCTGACACCTCCCCAGACATGACTGTTCATGGAGGGGGTTCTGGAAGGATGGCCTTTGTTAAGCCACTGAGTACTCTGGTTATCACCTGCATGAGTGGTAGATTTGTCTAACTGCCTTGTCTTTGCATAATAAAGAGCAACCACCATGGTGATTCCTTCCCCAGCAATGTTGGGTATCTTTTAACTCTATTTAGTCTCTGGAGCTGACTTATTTTAAATGGCAACTCCTTTCACTAAAAAAAAAAATAATAATAATAATAATAATAGTAAAATTCAGACTCCGCATACCAAGACTTTCTTAGTTAATAGTTCATTGTTTTGTGGACTTTGATTTAAAAATGACAGAAATTTACAAACACAAAGCACTGGTCCTCATGGGTGGAATCTTCAGGATACCCTACGCAATTTTAGGTTTTGACGTAACATAGGCTGGAATTGCAGATAGAGTTTTTAATTTTGGAACAATGTACCATAGAATCATCTCTCTTAAGAGTTGGAAAGAAACTTTATTACAAAAAACAAAAAACTGGCTAGCAATAGAAGGCTACTCTACCTCTGGATCTCTTGTCTGACCAATCATGGCTGTGTAAAGTGTGTGAAAGGAAAATCAAAATGATGCTGGTGTTGCTAAGAGTCTCTAAAATGAAGCTGGGAGGCCATTGAAGAAGTGTGATTTATGCATGTCTTAGCCTAGATGAAATCTGACCTTTTGACCACTTATTCTCTTAACACATGCATCCAGAACACCTGCCCAGTGTTCCAGAAACTCAAGACACTTATGGGACACTTACCCTAAAATAACTCACGACAACCTGCCCCATAAGGACAAATATTTCCATCGGGATCAATGACAATTCTGGAACAAACTTGTGGATTTTGCCTGAATAAGCCCCTGACTCTTTCTCTCCCCTGGGACACTGTTTCAGTTTTACCCAAATCTGTTTCTCCTAAATTGCAATTCTTTTTTTTAGTATTTTTTTAACTTTATTTTTTTTGGGGGGGGGTAATTAGTTTCATTGATTTATTTTAATGGAGGGACTAGGGACTGAACCCAGGACCTCATGCATGCTGAGCACGTGCTCTACCACTGAGCTATACTCTCCCCTCTGAATTGTAGTTCTTAAGACCTCAAAGAAAGCTCTTTGTTCTTTGCAGTCTTGATACTGATTCTTGTTGGACAAATGGTTGGTATGAACTCAAGCAGTTAGGCAGACTGCTTTATGCCTCTCATTCTTAGAGAATAAGTAAATAAATAGCTTGAATAACAGCATCCCCATTTAAATTAGACAAATTTTACTATGTAAAAATTGCAGCCTTCCATGGTACATCTATAAGATAAATAAAATGTATTCTGAGTTCCATTCATATACATCCACCTGCTTTTAAGGTGCAAGATCAAAGATGCATAGAGTAACCATAATTATTATAGAGCTTACTATGTGTCAGGCATTATTCTGAGGACCTTACTAACATTAACTCATTTAATCTTCACAACAGTACCATGAAGTAGGTGCTGTCATTATCCTTGCTTTCCCCACATGAATTTCAGGTGTAGAGAGAAGTAACCTGACCAATGTCACCCAGCTGGTGACGAGCTGGAACTGCAGACCCAAGAATAATCTGGCCTCAGAGTATATGATATTGACTTTCATAAACATTAATCATTAATTAATTCAATGTTTTATGGGCACCGATTCAGTTAAAGGTATTGGCTAAACCCTGTAGAAAATTTAAAGAATAATATGTGATCCCTGCCTTCAAGAAACTCCTATGTTGGTTGTCACTTTAACTAGAAAGCTGTACCTGTGTGTGGTTACTCTCATTAACCTGAACCCACCACCCAGACCGTGGTGTTATGTCCTGGGGTTTTATGCTGGAACTACAGGCATGAGGAGTTGAGCAGGATCTTAAACTCAGTTGAGTCTCTTCATTTTACAGATTTGAAAACTGAAGCACAGAGCAGTGTCTTGAGCAAGACCATAAGGTTAACGATAAAGTGCAACTGGAAAGGCGGTTTCTTGTCTTTCAGTCAGTAAAATATGTTCATGAAAATGTACGTAAGTCAAATTTATGCAAGCTTAATTATATTTTAAACCCCTAAGTGGAGATTTCTGTTTAAGGAGTCAGTAGTAAAGCATTTCATATAGACAATTATCATTTTACAAAGTGAATAATAACCATCCATCACCATGCCAAACTAGGGCTTTGTAAATCTTGGTATTCATATACTGGATTTGGTGAAATTAAAAAAAAAGAATTTAGGTTGTCTTATCAGCTTGGGCAAACTCAACAAAAATTCTATGGGTAAGATGGTGAATAACACTGACAGGAAAATGTTCAAAGTTTTGGGCTCCATACAGAGTTATCAGATTGGTATTTCAAACCAACAGCAGATAGATCAGGGTCCAAAGTTTAAACTCTGATAAAATAATTATAGCAGCGAACACTTACAGAACATGTACTATGGGGCCAGGATTATGTTCTAAGGACATAGTAAATATGACCTGATTTAATTCCCACAACAATTTGATGGAGTTTACACTATTATCTCCAATTTGTAGATGAGGACAGGGGACTATAGGGACATTAAGTAAATTGCCTCCAACTACAGGCCTGGGAAACCTGGGAAGCAGAATCATTTAGAATGATATTTCTCATTCATGATGCTCACACTCTCTCTGGAGAAGACTGTGGGAACTGGAAACTGGAAGTAGATGCTAAAAATTACCTTTGAAAGCTCAACAGTGGTATAAAAATGAGCACACTACTCATTTAGGCCCTGTGCTCAATGTTTTATTTAAATAAGCATGTAGGAAATATGCTAGACATTAGGGGGAGCATCCAAATGAATATTGTTTATATTATCATGTTCTATTGTTTATATGATTATATTATTTATATGATTATGTTGTTTACATATTCTATTATGTTTATAATTCTCATGTTCAAGAGTTCCTAGCAAAATAGAAATGATACAATAGGAACACAGATAGCTGTAAAGCAAGCCAGGTGGGCTAAGTTCTATGAGCATAAAAAATTGTGATGAGAATTTAGAGAAATTTTCAGTCCCTGGAAGCTAAGGGGGATTAGTCAAAGCTTCATGGCAAGGGTGGTATTTGAACCAGGTCTGTGAGAGTGGTCAAAATCTAGACAGAGCTGAGCTGGGTCCCTCAGGTTGCAAGAACAGCGTGAACAAAGGCATGTCCATAAATAACCAAGTTATCCTGTTGATTGGAGCAAAGACTGTGTGTAAAGAAGAGGGAGAGGAGATAAACTGGAAAGCTAGCATGAAGTCAGAGAGGAGAGCGTTGTAAATGACTCACCAAGGAATAGAGACTTCATTCAAGAGGCAAAAAGGCTTTGTTGCAGGGAAAGCACATGATCAAAATTAGATTTTTAGAAAGAATAATCTGACAGTGATTAGAGAGTGAACAGAGAGGCCAAAAGCCAGGTAAGAAAGGTCTAGGGAAGCAGCCTCTACAGAGCAGAACAGAGTGGTAGTACCGGGAAGGGAGAGGAGGCTGATAAAAAGATACTATAGGAAATTGTCTGTAGGAAATAGCTTGACTATAATGGAAAAAGAGGGAAGAGAGGAGAAGAGGGGGAAGAGATGACCTGTGCTTCAGGTAAATGGTAATGTCTTCAGTGGAAGTTGTGGAGGACAAGAAGTACAGTTATGAGAGTAGAGACACTACATTTAGTTTAAGACACATTGATTCTGATGGGCCAATAAGAGACCCAGATAGAAATTTACATATTCATTCATAGTGTGAGCATCTACTGAATGCCTATTGCATCAACGTCCCTTCAACAAACCCTTGGGATACATCGTAATCACTACAGGAGGACTTTTTTATTAAATTGCTCGCTCCTGTTCAGGAGACCATACTAAAGTATCATATTCAAATCTAACTCTATAAAATATTTCCAAGCCAACACAGTTGAAAAGTGAGCTCCTTCTTCTGAATTCCTGTACATTTAACTCTCTGTATCACTCACTGGGTGTTTAACACATACAATTTTATTCTAAATATACATATTTATTTATTTCTCCCGTAATGTCAAGTTTTCAATCATATCATAAGAGAACAGGCATCATTTTAATATTCTTTGAATCTCGCATGGTACCTCATTCAGAGTAGGAAAATTCAGTAAAGCTTTGATTGTTAGACAGGGAGATTTTTTTGCCTTTTCTCTTCTAGGATAGGGATCCGTCTTCTCTTAGCCTTGTAGAACAGAGGATCAGTAACATTTCACATCCAGAACACATGGCCACCGTAAAGGGAGCCACAGAAGCTAAGTCGGCTTGGGTCTGCGAGAAGGAAAGCTGAACAATGGCAAGGGCTAAGAAACCATCCACTGCCCCGCTTTCGATCGCAACAGTTTTACGAACAGCAAGAGGCAGCATCGAGATTTTAGCAAAAAAGAACCTAAACAACAAACCAAACAGGAACGAAGACACTCAGTAGAAGCACTTCTAGGTTAACTGCCTTAAGAAAGCTCAGTCCCGTTCTGAACGTCAAGTAAACCCCTAGAAACATTAAAATCAAACTCAGAGTTCTAACCATTCTCTCCAGGAAGGCTGCTTTTTCAGGCAGTCTGCGTTTGATGACTATTCCCACGGATATGGGTGTGAGTATGAAAAGGAGGGTTGACATAATTTTAAAGACAGGACTATGAAGGGAACCTGATAACCCTAACAGCCTGCTGTATATGTACGAATTGGCAGGCATCATTATCAGGGCCAATAGCGTTGACATGCAAGTCATCAAAATGGCCAAAGTGACATCTCCTTCTAGTAGCAGAGCAAAGAGATAGCCCCCACCCCCTCCTGGGCACGTGCAGGTCATTACAAATCCAAAAGCCTGTGCCTCAGGCAATGCCGAAATCTGCGTCAAAAGAAATCCACAAAACGGCATGAGAAAAAACTGTGCAATTGTCACGAGAATTATTGGCAAAGGTCTCTTCCACACTGTTTGAAACACCTGTAATTCAGTCTTGCAACCAAATGCACATTTATTTAACAGTATCATTGGTAGAAAAAGCATTAGGATATTCCTATCAATATGGTTTGATGCCTGGAAAAGACCGCCTGGTCTTGGTCTGAGTACTCTGACTTTGACATTCTTTACTTCAATGAGTCGTTCCCGCCTACCTTCAGATTCCCATAGTTGAACGGTGAGATTTGTCTCTCCGTCTTCATCTGTCACCAGGTTTATGGTAAAGTCAGTAACATCCAAGAAGGTCCTGGTCACATTCACCACTTGCAGGGTTTTGGGATCTTCGAGTTGCACAAAGAGGAAGCTGGAGTTTGGCTGTTTCTCTCTGTAATTTGACCTGACAACAATGGTTTCTTCAGTCTTTGTGAAAAAAAAAATATTTCAGTCTTTTCTCTGTTCAGGAAACTGAGAAATGATTTCCTTGCTTCTCCAAGAGTCACAAACGACAAAAGCAGGACAATTAAAAGTTCTCTGATCATTCTGAAAGCTTAAATAAATCACCCATGCAAAACATTAAAAAAAAAATCCAAAAACTAAAGAACGTTCTTCGTACAGGTGTTCCGGTGAC